GTCTGAGTCGACGAAGAAGCACCAATTGTCCGTGAGCTCCAGGCTCGAACACATTGGGCCCTCCACACCCCACGCCCCACGCATGAAGGGCTTCACGGTTTCAAGGCAGAGAGCCGCAGGTGAGCAGAGCTGTCTAGGTTCGGCAAGTCCTTTCTCCTCAGGCGAAGGAGCATCGTTGTTTTCATTCTCACGCTTTCGTCGAGTCGACTACTCAGCGCGCACAACGCAATCGTAACACCAGGTGGAGATGATCGCGGATCCGATAGCAGCCTTACGGCACGCCGGAAAACTTCACCACTCCTGCCAGTTTCCCGAGCGGCGGCCGTCTATTGCAGCGTTGGAAAAACAGCTATACACCACGTCCTGCTTTCTCACTTAGGTCCTAGGTCCGCATCACTGGCAGCCTTTGTCTGCGTCTCATCGTCCTGTACAAACAAAGGCCAGATGTTCGGCTCCCTTTTGTATCTTCGCCTGAAGCTCTGTGAGAAACTCCTCTGTCGGCTCTTTTTGGGGGCCGCAACTCCCATCATTCTGTAGTGACCTGAGTCAGGTGTGCACCTTAGGTGACAAAGAGGCTGGTCCGCCACAGGTTGGGTTNNCCCCCCCCGCCCCCGGGGAGGGGGGGGAGAACAACAACAACCCTGGGGTCAGGGTTCCGGGGTTGGGTTTAACCCGGCTTCGAACCCAGGTTAAAACCTGAGTTGAACCTGGGTTCGAACTCGAGTTGAACTTTTTCCGCGGACTTTTACCCAGAGGGCTCATCAAACGCAGGAGCTTCTTGCCCCTTGTCTGGCGGCTGGTCTTCAGCCTTGCTTGCTCCTCCAAAGAAGCTTACAAGAGACTGCTTAGCCCCAACAACCTTTGCACCTTGCACCTTGCTTCTAGGGTCACGACGGGTGGAACAAGAACTCTTCAGTTTGGTGGAACTCGCTCCGTGCACAGACTAGACACCACCACACTGAACGCACAACCACAACTGTCCCTGTAGCTGCATGTCGTGGCTCACATGCACGCCGGCAAATTTAGCTGGACCGTCGGCTCCGCATGGTGTGTTTTCACGCTCAACCAAGACCTTTCCTAGGCTTAGTGTGCAAAAGCCTCCAGCCGCACCGATTGCAAACTAAGTCAGGCCCCATCCGCACCCACTCATGCTTGGAGGGTCCACCTTCATTCACCAGGCTGGTGAACCACTCATCTCTAGTTTGGGTGTGGCCATGGCCAACATTAGCACCAACCTTGTCTTGCAAGTACGTTGAACCCCAGGCAAAGGTTTGGCAGTACAAGGCATGGCCGGAATGTCGCACGCCTGAGTCACCTGGCTATGCTTAATGCGCTTGATAATGATGGGATGCTGGTTCAGAAACTCGAGTTGAACCTCGGGTTCAACTCGGGTTCGAACCCGGGTTCCAGGGTTGGGTTCAACCCCAACCCAAACCCTCGGGTTGGGGTTCGGGTTGAACCCAAACCCAAACCCTCCCCTTCCTTCCAGGACCCCTCCCGCGCCCCCCCTCGACCCCCCGCTTTTGAGTTTTCGCTTGTAGGAGGCCAAAACGTAGGAGAAAGTTTGGGGGTTAAAAAGTGAAGAAAAATAAGACTCAGAGAGCGGGAGAAAGGCACACGAAAACGCTTTTGGGGGCTTGAAAACGAAGAAAATCAGAATTAAAAGCCGATCTTCCGAACACAAAAGGAGAAAGCCACACGAAAACGCTTTTGGGCGAAAAGTGTTGGCACCGTTCAAGTTCTCCCAGTTTCCACTCACAACCAAGCAAAAACTTCAGAAGGTTCAAGGTGTCAAGGCAAAGTCTTTGGAGATCAAGCAACTGCAGCAAGCTAACACTCTTGCAAGACACTTGGACACTTCTTTTCTCACACTCGCGGACTTGAGCCAAGGTCGTAAAGGTAATTTGCAGACTCTGTACGGCTTCCCTGGCTTTTCAAACACTACAAGCAAGTTCCAAACAAGCAAGCTGCATCTGTGACTGACTACTGCTCTGTTCTTCAGAGCCTCCAAACACTCACAACAAGAACGCGTCTTATCACTTGCGCTGCTCCATCCAAACAACAAATTCAAGCGGATACAGGCTCATGCATGCAACATGCTCTCAAACATGCCCTGCCTCCACTTTTCTTTGGAGCAATTCCAATGGGTAGACCGCTCTAAGATTTACGCGTTGCAGGGACCCTTGCAAGCAGACATCCTTTGTAAAGTCCTTGTTCAAGTCGCCTTTTGTCTTGACGATCCAGAGCCACTTGAACTGCAAAGCTCCGATACAGTCACCATGATGCCCTCATCTTGGACTGGACAACCTGGTCCTTGGTGTTGAAAAACAGGGCGCTGCTGCAGGCCAACGTGGACGTGCACGTCTTGGAAGAATCGGCACGGCGGGGGACGGGAAAAAAACCTTACTCTAGTCTGTGGGGTAAACATGCTGACACTACTCAGCCATTCAGGACATTGGAGTGGCTTCAAGGTGCTTTTGGGTATTCTTTCTACCGGGACCAAATGCTTAAAGGTGCGCGCTGTTCCAATGGCTGAATTTCCGAAGCTTCCACTTGTGTTCAAAAGGTGAGAACAAAGGCTTTAAAGGCGAGGACAAAGGTTTTGAACGCTTTAAAAGGGTGAGGACGAAGACTTTGAAGGTTTCGAAGGGAAGGATGAAGGGTGGAAAGTATCCAAGGCTTTGATCGGAAGGCTTCGAAAGAGGTTTCGAGGCTTGGAAAGGGGTTGAAAAGGTGAGAACGAAGGGGCTTCGATAGTGTTGAGGATGGGAACCAAGGCTCTACGGAGAGACAACTTGAATCTAATCACACACGCGGGAGTCTGCGTCTCTTCCATCCTCCCGCTCTTTTCAAGCAGCACCCTTTCTTCAACTCCAACGAACTCTATTTCTTGCCAATTGGCCTACCAGGCATGTCCGTACGAAAAGAAGAAAGCCACACGGAAACGCTGCGTGGCTGAAAAACAGAGAAGCTCCCTAAAGTTTTTTCAATCAAAGACCGCACACAATGAGAAAGACACACGAAAGTTTTAATAGGGAAGCTTGAAAACGAAAAAATTTAAAAAAAAACTGAATAGAAGAAACCTAAAGTTTTTTGGCCTCAAAAAGCGAGAAAAAAAAACAGGAAAACCAAAGTGAAAAACTGCACGAAAACGCTTTTGTTGCTCAAAAAAACTGAAAAAAAAGTCCCTTAGGTCTTTCTAGGCAAAGGTTTGTCTACATACAACGGAGACACATGGAAAAAAAAGAAAGAAAAGAAATTCAAGCACTCCAAAGCTCCACGCGAAGAGGCTTGATCTGTTTTAAAGCCCTTTCGTAAACTTTCCGGATGCACCCGTGCCTTTGAGCAAGACTTGTTCAGAAGTCAGCGATCCTTCTTTCCTTTGCCGTGTGGTTTCCTCTGGGTTTCTCTCAGGCGTTTCCACAGGTTGCCGGTAGTTTTTTTGATGGTTTTCCGTGACTTCACCAGGAAACAATTGGAGCTTGCCTGCTTTGGCTGTGTGCTGTTTAGTGACGGCTTCTCTTTTTTCAGACCCCGCAATATCTTTTTCTCAGCCACATGCCATTCTCAACCTGATTTTTGTTGGGGTCAAGAAAAAGACT